GTGAGATATTGCTTAAGAAATCCTTGCCTAGTCTAATGTCCTGGAGAGTTTTCCCAATGTTTTCTTGTAATAGTTTCATGGGTTGAAGTCTTAGATTTAAGTCTTTAATCCATTTTAATTTGATTTTTGTATACAGCAAGAGATAGGGGTCTAGTTTCATTCTTTTGCATATGGATATCCAGTTTTCCCAGCACCATTTATTGAAAAGACTGTCCTTTCCCCATTGTATGTTCTTGGCACCTTTGTCAAAAATAAGTAACTGTAGAGGTATAGGTTTATATCTGAGTTCTCCGTTCTGTTCCCCTGATCTGTGTGCCAGTGCCATGCCACTTTGGTTATTATAGGTCTGTAGTCAAATTTAAAGTTGGGTTATATGATTCCTTCAGCTTTCTTCTTTTTGCTAAGGATAGCTTTGGCTATTCTAGGTGTTTTTTGGTTTCATATAAATTTTAGGATTTTTTTTCTCTCTCTGTGAAGAATGTCATTGGTATTTTGATAGGCATTGCATTGAATCTGTAGATTGCTTTGGGTAGTATGGCTATTTTAACAATAGTTATTCTTCCAATCCATGGACATGAAATATTTTTCCACTTTCTGTCTTCAATTTTTTCATCAGTGTTTTATAGTTTTGATTGTAGAAATCTTTCACTTGTTTTGTTAATTCCTAAGTATTTTATTTTATTTGTAGCTATTGGAAATGGGATTACTTTCTTTTACAAATATTTTTCTTTTCTTCTTTTTAAAAATAGGAATCCTATTAACTGAGGGATTACTTTCTGGATTTCTTTTTCAGATTTTTCACTGATGGCATATAGAAATGCTATTGATTTTTGTATGTTATTTTTTTTATCCTGCAATTTTACTGAATTTGATGATCAGTTCTAATAGTTTTCTCGTGGAGTCTTTAGGCTTTTCCAAATATAAGATCATATCATCTGCAAATGAGGATAATTTAACTTTTCTTTTCCAATTTGGATCTTCTTTTTTCTTTCTCTTATCTGATTGCTCTAGGTAGGACTTCCAGCACTATATTGAATAACAGTGGTGAAAGTGGGTATCCTTGTCATATTCAGAGCTTAGAGAAGAGACTTTTAGTTTTTCCCCATTCAGGATAATACTAGTAATTGATCTATTATTAATATTATTATTTTGAGATGGAGTTTCACTCTCGTTGCCCAGGCTGGGGTGCAATGGCGCCATCTTGGGTTACTGCAATCTCTGCCTCCCAGGTTCAAGTGATTCTCCTGCCTCAGCCTCCCCAGTAGCTGGGATTACAGGCATGTGCCATCACACCTGGCTAATTTTGTATTTTTAGTAGAGACAGGGTTTCTCCATATTGATCAGGCTGGTCTTGAATTCCTGACTTCAGGTGATCTGCTCACCTCAGCCTCCCAAAGTGCTGGGATTACATACGTGAGCCACCATGCCCGGCAGCTATAGATCTGTTACATATGACTTTTATTGTGTTGAGGTATGTTCCTTCTACCCCAGTTTTTTTAGGGTTTTATCATGAAGGGAGGTTGAACTTTGTCAAATGCTTCTTTGGCATCAGTTGAAATAATCATATGGCTTTTGTCCTTCATTTTGTTGATATGATGTATCACATGGATTAATTGATTAATTTGTATACCAGGGACAAGTTTCATTTGGTCATGATCAATGATCTTTTTAATGCATTGTTGAATTTGGCTTGCTAGTATTTTGTTGAGACTTTTGCATTAATATTCATCATTGACATTGACCTAAATTTTCTTTCATGATGTATCTTTGTCTGGTTTTGGTATTGGGGTAATACTTGCTTCATAGAATGAGTTTGGAAGTATTCCTTCCTCCTCTATTTTCTGGAGTAGTTTACATAGAATTGGTATTACTTCTTTAAATGTTTGGTAGAATTCAGTAGTGAAGCTACTGGGTCCCGTGCTTTTCTTTTCTGGGAGACTTTTTATTATGGCTTCAATATAATTACTTGTTTTTAGTCTGTTCAGGTTTTGGATTTCTTTCCTGTTCAATCTTGGTAGATTTTATGTTTCTAGGAATTTATTTCATCTAGATTTTCCAATTTATTGGCATACAGTGGCTCACAGTCATCACTACTGAATTTCTGCAGTATCAGCTGCAATGTTTCCTTTTTCATGTCTGATTTTATATATTTGGGTCTTCTCTCTTTTTTTCTTTATGTGGTTAAAGGTTTGTCAATTTCATTTATTTTTTTCAAAAAGACTTTGTTTTGTTTCATTGATCTTTTGTATGTTTTTCTTCATTTCAAATTCATTTAGTTCTGCTCTGATATTTTATATTTCTTTTCTTCTGCTAATTTTGGGTTTGGTTTATTCTTGCTTTTCTAGTTCTTTAAGATGTATCATTAGGCTGTTTATTTGAAGTTTTTCTTCTTTTGTGATATAGACACAGCTATAAACTTCTCTGTTAGTACTGCTTTTGCTGTATGCCATAGATTCGGTATGCTGTGTTTCCAGCATCATTACCGTTTGTTTCAAGGAATTTTTCATTTTTTTCTTAATTTCTTCATTGATTCACTGTCATTCAGAAATGTATTGTTTAATTTCCATGTGATTGTATAGTTTCCAAAATTCCTCTTGTTTTTGATTTCTAGGTTTATTCCACTATACACCATTTTCTTTTCTTTTTCTACCCCTTATTTGCCTACACATATCACTTTCTAATATCATCTCATAGCAAGCTCTGAGGTTTCCCTTGGACTCAGAGTTCTGTCCCATTCAATCATGGGTGGCTCTCTCTCTACAGAAGGCATTGTTTCCTGGGGCTTTTGCTTCCTCCCAGTCTTGATGTAACACTAAGTCTAACTCTTCTTACACTATGTGCCTGGTACAATGATAAGCACTTTATATGCATTGTTTTACTTAACTTTCAAAATGGCAGTATAAGGTTAATATAATATTACCGTTTTACACCTGAGACTGAAACTCACTTAGACAATGTGAACAAAATCACACAACTTTTAAAAGAAAGAACTAGGACTGGAAAGACTTGAAAGAAGGCAACACAGTATAATGAAAACAGAAAAAGCTTTGAAGTCAGATACCCGAGCTCAGTTCTTGGCTGTATTCTGGCTGTAGGACCTTGTATAACTCCCTTAAGCTTTCTTAGCTTCACTTTCTTTGTTTTTTGAATGAGGAGAAATGTTCTGTAGAAGTATTCTGAGAATGAAATGAATCAGTCTATATAAAATGCCTATCATATAGAATTAGATCTTACCACTACCTTCCTCTATCACCTGACCAGGCTCAGTCATCTTCCTCCTGCATCATGCTGCTCTCAGGCTGATAAGAGAAATCAGGCAGGAACACAGATGACTATGACAAAAGAGAGAAAGCAATAAGTACCAAACAAGCTTTGTCAGAACGACAAAGTAGGACTTCATGGGGACAGTGATATTAAATCTAGACCTGACATGTTTTATCAGATTCCAAGAAATGGAAAATAGATGGAAGGAGCTCAAGAGTCCATATCTGACAACTGGATAGGGCATGGAGTGCAGTGATGAAGGTACAAGTTTCTGCAGACCCAGCACCCCCCCTCACCCAGCTCCTGGCTGCTATTTCACGGTCATTTGGAGACCAGGCCCCAGCTAGAGGGGGCTAACAGCTCAAGGCAGCCTTTAGAAGGGACAGTGGAGTGCTAGGGAGCCTATGGGCCAGCCTACTCCCACCCTGCAGAGAAATTGGCATGAGAGGGAAAGGCCCAATATCTGCCTGCAGCTTCTCAGACCAGCTGGGATTCTATTTTTAAGCATCCCTGTCATAGTTGACAGCTTGGAACGCCTTCTCCCTCCTTTTCTTCCTTCTTCCTGCCTCTTGCAGCCCAGAATCCTGTAGAAACGATAGATAGGAGCAAACCCCAGCACCGGTAAACAGAAGAACCACTCTCCTTTTTCACTGTTTTCTACTCCATCTAGCCTTCTCCAGGGTAGTTAGTGTATTTTAGAGGCATATTGGCTGAGAAGCTAATGAGGCTTAAATTTTAGGGCTCCTCGTTTTCTCAGGCCCCTTCCAAGGCCCTGGTCAGGGTCCCAGAAATTTTGCATCTGCAGCTTTGTATTATTCTTCTTTCTTAAACAAAGAGCACCCAATTTTGTACACTTTAAGTCCCACAAAACTTGTATAAGCTCCTCACGGGTGTGTTGTCTTCTTCCCCATCTCCAACCCAGTATCTACTTCAACACCATTATTCTATCTTGCTCTAACTCACTGTATGACCTTGGGCAGCTCACATTCCTGCTCTGGGCCTCAGTTTTCCCTGTCTGTTACAAGCTGAAGCATGAAAAGACCCCTCTCCAATATACTATGCCTCTGATTATCCACGAATTCCCCTTGGTGAAGTCCTCAGTTCCTGTTCCTTTTTTGTCATTGTCTGTGGAGAGGTGATATTGCTGGTCTTTGCCTGTCTCTGGGGCTAGATTATTCTTAAAGTCAAAGGAAGACTGGGTTCTCAGACTCCTATTCAGGCTTTTATTGTTGTAGCTACTTAAAGTGCATCCATTTGGCAGAATCGCAGCCAAGTTTTGACACTGGGGAAGAGTGTACAATAAAAAATCCCTACTCTTTAATTAACTTCTGTATATTTGTCATGGTCTGATCTCTGGTGTTTCAAACACACATTGAATAAATTTAGTCTTATTATACAGTGCTTCCTCTTTTATCTTTTCATCAAAATTTAATAAGCATTTACTAATATAGTACCTTAACAGTGGCCCATTTTGGGAGAATGTGATCAGGAATCATGGTGTGTCACAGATGTGCCATTTTCCATCCCCACTCATGGTTACTGCAACATTGGAATGTAGGTAGAAGATGAAAACCTAGAGGAATATGTGCAGCGTCGTTGAGCCTCCGAGGCTGGGCTTTCTGGCAAGGGGTTGCCACAGTGGCGTAAAACAGTGGGAGAGACCTGACAGAAGGATATTATCGTAAAATCCTGTGCCTCCTCACCTGCCCCAAAAGAATCCAGAAAGGAAGTTCAGGAGGCAGTCAAATAATTTATTATTTCTTGAAGAGTCTGGGTAAGGAAGGAGAGGGCAGGGCTACCATCCTTAACTGGAAAGGGGCGAAGAGCCTTTTCAGTGCAGAACAGCCTGTTGGTCAGAGGTATGAGATTAGGCCTGATGGTTCTTTCGGTGCTGATAGAGAAAGGGGATTGTGAGGTCAAACTGGGAGCATCCCAAAGTCAGTCCTGTGCCAGGCTCCACACTCCCTAAAACGATCAGTGCCATTAATCTATGTGTGTGAGAGGCAGGTCAGCCCTTGCCAGAGTTCCCACTGTGTAGAAACAGTTTACCGCTAGGGACGCTGTGTCTGTCTAAGGCGAGTGCCATGTTTCTATGGGGCAGGCTCAGTCCCATATCAGAGACGTGCCTCCTTTTCTGAGTAGGGCTCCATTCTTGTTTCTCTTGTGTCAGGTAAGCTGCCTTTTCCTGTGCTTGTGGTTAGGCCATGCTATTGGGTGTCGGTCTCCTGTGTCAGTTGCGGTTTGTGTTTTGAGTGTCTGGAAAGGGACAGTGAGTGTCATTTTCCCTGCCTCAGCCCCCACAGCCCCCCCACTCCTCAGCCAGGCCCCAGTGTGCTGATGGTGGTGTAGCTCAGCCTGGACAGCGAAGCAATGGAGGGAGTGGGAGGGTCATCATCGGGAAGAGGCCTGGGGCGAGCCCGTGGAGGCCGGGGGCAGAAGCGAGCACAGGTTTCCAGGCAGGCCTGGCGAAAGCGACGGTGCATGAAGCAGTAGACCAGGGGGTTGACACAGGCCGAGGCATAGCTCAGCAAGTGAATGAAGGAGATGGGAGCACCTGACAGGGCTCGGTGTGCACCTGGGCCATCAAAGGCGCGCCACGTGTTGGCGCTATAAACTGGCAACCAACACAGAAAAAAAAGCACGACGATCACCAGCAACATTCGCACCACGCGCTTCTTAGCCAGAAGCTTGGCCTGGATGGGCCGGGAGCCGTGTCCCGGCCCAGGAGTGGGCGCCACCAGCGCCGAGAGCTCCAGAGCAGGCCGAGAACGTGGAAGCTGCACGTAGCAGCCATCGCTGTCTTCGCCACCCGCGCCAGTCTCAGGCCGGCAACGCCCGTTCTGGTGAACAGCACCTGAGCACAGAAGGTGGGCAGTCAGAGAAAAAGGCAAGAGTCCTCCCAATCTCCAGCCCAATCCCCACCTCAGCTCGCTGATGCCGTAACTCCATTTCCAGCTTTCTTCTCCCATTATTTCAGCCCCACCCACTCCAGCAGGCCCCGTGGCCCTCCAAAGCTCCGCCTCTCCCGGATTTCGCTCACCTGGTCCAGCCCTACCCGGCAGCCCGCCTCGGCTTCGGACCCTGCTTTGGCTCTCGCTGTCACTGTCGCCGTCAAAGCGAAGCCCTAAGTAGAGCTCTCGGGAGATAAGCCCATAGGCCACCGCCATCACTACACCCGGGATGAAGAATAAGAGCAGGAGCAGCAGTACGGACCTGGAGGCAACACAGATGACTCGGTTTCTGTCCAGCCACAGTCACAGATGGAGAAAGGGCCAAGGACTGGTGTTTCTAGGGCTGTGGCCGGGTACCCGAGGTAGGGGTAGGATTTAGGGGTGCCACTGGGAAGGGAGAGAGAACTGGGGACGGCACCCAAATTGGAATTTCAGGCTGGTGGATGCAGAATAGGAATTGGCATGGTAATTCTCCGGGCAGCTGGAGGACTATTCTGGGCAATGGTCTTAAGCATCTAATGGGGGTGAGAAGGGAAATCCTAGAATAGGTTGTGGGCAACTCACCAGGTCTGGCGCACCCGTGCACTGGGCCAGCGATGCACGCACTGCAGCACACGAGGCCCCACTGGTTGCACGATAGTGTACACTGGGTAGGGCACCATGAGCAGTCCGGACAGCAGCCACGTGGCGATGATCACCCGAGCCGCATGGGAGCGCGTCTGCCACACTCGCGCCTGCAGTGGTCGGCAGATGGCGCTGTACCGCTCCAGCGCGATGGCCACGAGGCTTAGCGTGGACACACTCACAGACACCCCTAAGCAGAGGAAGAGAGAGGAAGGAGTCACCCAGGAAACTTGCACTACACACCCATCAGTGGGACGTCCTCATACCCCTCCCTGCCAACTGGGGGAGACTCCTACATCCACAAGGGCTTTAGGAGGGGAGAGTGGCAAGTGGGGATGGGGTGGTTGTCTCACTCACCCATGAGGTAGGAAACCGCCTTGCAGATGAATGTGCCAAAGACGAATGTGCCCATGAGATTGGGCAGGAGGGTGAAGGGCATGCAAGCCACAGCCAGCAGGAGGTCGCTGACTGCCAGTGAGAGGAGGAAGGCATTGGTGACCGTTCTCAGGCGTCGGCTCAGTCCCAGGACCATGATGATGAGCACATTTCCTCCAACACTCATCAGGAAGATCACTGCATAAAGAGTAATTCTAATGGCCAGCTCCAATTCTGGGTAAGAAAAGGGAGAGGTGGCAGTAGAGGTCAGCCTTCATTCAGCCAAACCCCTCTCCATCCTTCTTATCCCCAACCCTCACTGCCCTGCCAGATGCCTACATTCCCTACTCATGAGCTGCTCAATAAATGGTGAGCTTGAATCCTTTAGCCTTCTAACCCCTTGAACTTTGGTTAAATTGGCCCAACTCTACCTTTCCTTAAGAAAGCCTGTCTCTTCTCAAGGTTTGATCCAAATCTTTCCTTCCCTTTGCAGCCAAATTTCTTCTGAGGTTATTTGTGTCTTCTCATTCACTCTTCAATCCATTACAATATTCTGTACCCTATCACTGCATACTTCTTCCCAAGTATGCTTATCTTTAACTGCTAAATTCAAAGGTCCTTCCTTAGCCTATTCTATTTGACCTTCCTGGAGTATTCTACACTGTTGACAACCCACTACCTTTTGAACCACATCAGATCACGTCTTTATTCTCTAACAACAAAAGCAAAAATCCCTTCGCTTAATCTCTACTGTCTGCAACCCCTCAGAATGTCATCAAGATCCTCCCACAAGGGACATCTTCCTCCCCACTGCCCCCCCCCCACCCACAATGCACTCATTTAAGCAAGCCACTGGATGACTCAGTTTCTTGAATGCATCATTTGCACTTGTGACTCCCTCCCTGCTCAAGTTGATTTCTCAGCCCAGAATACTCTTTCACCAACTCTCCCCACAACTTCCACCCCCCATCACAAGCTTATTTTCTGTATCTGGTGAATTCCTATTCCTCCCTTGTTGGTCAAGACTCAAATCGACAGCTATTTCTTCTGTAAGGCCCTTCTGGACACCTCATTTAGTATTACTCTCCCCTTTCTCTAACCCATGCATGTTTCTTGCACAATGATTAAAACCTATTTTACTTTTTGCCTTGTATTTTAATTCTTTCCAAACATTCATTCTCACTCTATAAACATTAACAGAGGACTCCCTTTGTGCCAGGCACTGGGAACAAAGAGATGAACATGACAAACTCTTTGTGATTTGAGAGCTCACAGGGGAGAAGTAAACAGATGTGATAAGGAATGATGTTGAAGGATGTACAAGGTGCTGCTGGAGCTCATAGAAGGTACACCTGTTTAAGGCAGAGGGGCTGGGAGGCTGACCCCATTCTTTTGTGTCATTGTCTATTAAAAGATGGATTCATCTTTGGCCCACCATGTCGCAGCCAAGCATATTTAGACAACATCGAATTGCATCGAACAGGACGGAATCACTCACACTTATGGCCTCGGCTTGAGAGGGATCAGAGCTCAAAGGTAGAGAGGGCAGGGGGCAGAGCCTTCTAGGTTGCAGAGAAGGAAGGGCTCAAAGCAGCAGCCCTCTCTTCCAGAGTCCCATACTTTGGCTGACTCTCATTTTAGCTTCCAAATTGAAAACTACAGCCATGCACTGAATAACGATGTTTTGATAAATACAAATTTCACATATGATGCTGGTCTCATAAGATTATAATGAATAAACTGACACAAGAGCAGAAAATCAAACACTGCATGTTCTCACTCATAGGTGGGTGTTGAACAATGAGAACACATGGACACAGGGAGCGAAGCACTACACACTGGGGTCTATTGGGGGAAAATAGGGGAGGGACAGCGGTGGGTGGGGAGTTGGGGAGAGATAGCATGGGGAGAAATACCAGATACAGGTGATGTGGAGGAAGGCAGCAAGTCACACTGCCACGTGTGTACCTATGCAACAATCTTGCATGTTCCTCACATGTACCCCAAAATCTAAAATGCGATAAAATAAATTTTAAAAAAAGATTATAATGAATAGCTGGGGACAGTGGCTCATATTTGCAATCCCAGCACTTGGCGAGGCCAAGGCAGGAAGATCACTTGAGTCCAGGAGCTCGAGATCAGCCTGAGCAACATAGCAAGACTCCATCTCTGCAAAACATAAAAAATTAGCTGAGTGTGGTGACAGATTCCTGTATTCATAGCTACTCAGAAGCTTAAGGCAGAAAGATTGCTTGAGCTCAGGAATTTGAGGCTGCAGTGAGCTATGATAGTGCCACTGCACTCCAGCCTGCACAACAGAGTGAGACTCTGTCTCAAACAAAACCCAAAACAACAACAACAACAACAACAAAAGATTATAATGGAGCTGAGAAATTTCCATCACCTAGTTACATTATTGTAACACGGCAGCATGATGCATTGTTCATGTGTTTGTGGGAATGCTGGTATGAACGAACCGACTGTGCTGTCAGTCATGGAAGCCTAGCACATTCAATTACGTACATAGTACTTGATAATGATAATAAATGACTATGTGACTTGTCGATGTATTTACTATATTATGCTTTTAATCACTATTTTAGAATATACTCTTACTTATTTTTCAAAAATGTTAACTATAAAACAGCCTCAGGCAGGTCCTTTAGGATGTATTCCAGAATAAAGCACTGCTATTATAGGAGATGACAGCTCCATGTGTGTTCTTGCCCTGATGACCTTCCAGTGGGACAAGATGTGCAGGTGGAAGATGGCAAAATTTATCCTGACCCTGTATACGCCAATGTGTGTGTTTGTGTCTTAGTTTTTAACAGAAAGCTTTAAAAAGCAAAAAAGAAAAAAAATAGTTAAAAACAGAAAAATGCTTATAAGAATATAAAAAAGTTCCTCTGCATTGATTGAAAAAAAAGGAAAAAAAAGAACATAAAAAAGAAAATATTTTTGTATAGCCATACAATGTGTTTTTTGTTTTATGCCGTTATTGCAAAAGAGTCAAAAAGTTTATAAAGTAAAAAAGTTAACAGTATGGTAAGGTTAATTTTTAAACAAGAAAAATTTAAAAAATAAATTTAGCGTAGCCTAAGTTTACAGTGTTTATAAAGTCTACAGTAGTGTGCAGTAATGCCTTTACATTACAGAATGCCTTTATATTCACTTACCACTCACTGACTTACCCAGAGCAATGTGTCCTCCTGCAAGTTCCATTTATGGTAAGCTCCCTATACAGGTGTATCATTTTTTTATCTTTTATACTGTATTTTCACTGTAATAGATACACAAATACATAATATTATGTTACTCTTCCCTACAGTATTCAGCACAGTAACATGCTGTACAGGTTTGTAGCCTGGGAGCAATAGGCTATACCATATAGCTTAGGTATGTAGTAGGCTATACAATTTAGGTTTGTGTGAGTACACTCTGTGATGTTTACATGACAATAAAATCACTTAATGATGCCTTTCTCAGAAGGTATCCCCATCATTCGGTAATGTATGACTGTGTTTTCTGATAATAACCAATTTATTTAGAAATTGTAGACTTCAAATAAATGCTATTTATAAAAACTTCCAAACTGAACTCAGAAGTAACATTATTTGCTCAAGACCACACACCTGTTAAGGGGCTGAATCAGAATAGAAGCCAAGTCCCTGGATCCCTACAATGCTTTGCCTCCTACTGTTTGTTCCTTCGGTACTCTCATTCATCATACTGCCTCCTCTTAATCAAATCTCAATCTAAATGCCTCTTTCTGCCTCTCTCTATACTCAACCATGGCATTTCTCACTGTGTTAGCATGTATGTAATTCTCTGTCTTCCCCACTAGACTAGGAGCTTCTTGAGGACAGGGGCAAGGTCCATCTCATTCTCCAGTACATTCCTAGCACTCAGCATAATGTCCAGCACAGAGAAGGTAGTCAACACATGCTTGTTAATGGATCTTGGGTGATTCTGTCTTTCAAGACAGAAGTGCACCTGCTTTCCCCCTCCTCATCCATCCTTCATCTCTGCAGATGTGCTCCAGCATGCCCTCTCTTCTTCTCTGCCTCTGTCTTTTTGGACACGCATGTTGGAAGGTGCTTGTGGAGGTCAGTGAGAGGCTGTGATTTCAGATGTGTAACTTTTGTTTTTATATACAAACTATCTATGTTTCCTTTAGAAGCGGGCCTCTCTCTATAAGGAAGGGTTATAGAAGGCTTATAGGTGACATAATTTGAGGGGAGTGTGTATGGTGGGGAATAAAGGACCTTTAGGAGGGAGACCTCTGTCAGAGAGGTCCTTGGACTCAGAAAGAAAAGAGCTGGTGGTTTATCTTGCACTCTCTGTTTCTCCTCCAAATCCATCGTCCTCTCAACCCCCAGCCCCCATCTCTTGAATCTTTCTAGTTCCATTATCCTGCTTACATCCTCCTCTGGATGTCTTTCTTCAACTAATTATTGATGCAATTGCCACACCTCAAGTTGGTACAGTACTCTGAAGTATGAAAAGAAATTTCTCATTCATCTATCCAGCTGACATGTCCCACGTGTGTGCCCTTGAACTTGGCTGATTGTGTGTGGATATTAATAAAATGAAAGTGAGTCGTGTTTGATGGATGGGTAACACCAAAATGACTTCAGACAATATTAAAGTGAGTATGGTAACATTTGTCTTTTTATGGGTAGTATCTGAGCGAACATGGGTAACACTCAAGTCTGCATGGATTATATAAGAATAAAGCGGTACATGCGAATTTCTATTGGTAACATTTGAGTGAACCTGGGTAACATATGCATCTGTGGGGATAATATCTGAGTGAGTGTGGCTGACAGGGTCTCCGTGTGTAACATCTGACTGGCTGGGTAACATCCACATGTGTGAGCAGCATTTAGATGAGTGAGGCAAATTTTTGCACCTGTGCTCTGAATTGCTTCACATCTGCTTTCACAGGGACTCTTCTCTATTGATTATCCCCTTTCTCATCTGTAATTTCAATCTTCCTCTCTCGGCCCAACCACCATCAAATATATTAAAAAGCTCTTGTTTAAAAATGCACACACACACAGACACAGACACAGTCACAGACACACACATGACAAACCTACACACATGTCACCCCTCAATCTCATGCTATTTTCGGCTGCTTTGCTTTCTCTCTCTCTCTCTCTCTCCTCTCTCTCTCTCTCTCTTCTCTCTCTCTCTCTCTCTCTTTTTCTCTCCCTACCAAACTTCTTGAAAGTTTTGGCCATATATCCTGGTTCACTTCTCATAAGCCCCTCTCCCACCAGCCCAATCTTCAACCTACCATAGTTAAGCCTCAATACCTACAACTCCTATTTTCTTGTTATTGAATGTGAAGGATGCTGTTCTGACTGTCCTGTTTTTATTTATCTAATTTATGTCAATAGCATTTGCTATCATTTACTCCAACATGCTTGAAACTCTCTCTTTTTTTTTTTTCCTTCTGTAAGGGCATAGCTCCTGCCTTTCTGAGAGTTTCATCTGAATATCCTTCGTGGATTCTCTTGCTGCTGCCTAGCTTTTAAATACCAGTCTTCTACAGAGTCCTGACCCAGCACCAATTTTCTTTTCATTCTGTACAATGATTTATGATTTTAACTATTCTCATGGCTTCTACCTCTTGTAGGCAAAGACCTTCTTCAAGTCTTTATTTCTACCCCATATCTTTCCTATAAGTTCTAGACCCCTGGAATCAACAGCTTACTGGGTAACCTCACCTGAATATCCTACTAACATTTAAACTTAGTGGGTTCCAAACTGGATTTATAATTCCCTCTTCCAAACCTGTTTCTGTTGTTTTATCTTTCTCATTGTATACAATTGCTATAGCACCAATATCCATTCAATTGTCCAAGTTAGAAATCTGAATGTCATCCCTTGACCTCTTCCATCCTCTTTGCTTCTAATCTGTTGATTCCATTTCCAGAAGAGGCTTTCAAATATATCCACTTCTCTCCATCCACATTGCCATCACCTTAGTCTCAGCTAGTATCATCTTTCCCCCAGAAGAGTGAAATATCGTAACCTTCTAAAGTATCCCCCTGCCTTCCATCTCATGTCTTCCAATCCATTCTCTACATTAGAGAACTAATCCCAGTAGTGCTACTGAATCTTTTAGTAGTTCCTATTGCCCGTAGGATAAAGTCCACATTCCATGGTCAGGTCTAGCAGGCTCTCTGCAAACCCTCTAGGCTATTCTCTACCCTGTTCATTATTCCCCTCTTAAATTATATATTCTAGCCACTCAAAACTACGTCACAGTGGATAAAAGTGCCGTGAATTCAAACTTTGAGCTTTTCATGTATCTTGTCCTTTTCTTTTTTTTTTTTTTTCTTTTCTTTTCTTTTCTTTTTTTTTTTTTTTTGAGACGGAGTTTCACTCTTGTTACCCAGTCTGGAGTGCAATGGCGCAATCTCGGCTCACCGCAACCTCCGCCTCCTGGGTTCAGGCAATTCTTCTACCTCAGCCTCCTGAGTAGCTGGGATTATAGGCACGTGCCACCATGCCCAGCTAATCTTTTGTATTTTTAGTAGAGACGGGGTTTCACCATGTTGACCAGGTTGGTCTCGATCTCTCGACCTTGTGATCCACCCGCCTCGGCCTCCCAAAGTGCTGGGATTACAGGCTTGAGCCACCGCGCCCGGCTTATCTTGTCCTTTTCTTTGGGATACTTTCTGTGTCTCCTGCCTGTTTACATGGTTGGCTCTCCCATATATATGTGCATTATATATATTTGCCAACAGGAAGCTTAGAGTCAATCTCCCTAATGTTTTTGACTTTATAACTCATTTCCTCAAGAGGCCAATCTTAATTCTGAAGGAGGCTAGGCTGGGCTAAAGGTGCTCCTCTTGCATTCCCACTGTCTTTTTCCTATCAAGGCTCTTCTACTTTGTGATGCAATCAATCCCCTGCTTGTCTGTCTCACCCACTAAACTCTGAGCTCCTTGAAGTAGGGATTGTGTCAGTTTTGTTCAACTTACATTCCCACTGCCTAGCACAGTCTCTGGTTCAATAAATATTGGCTGAATGACAGAATCCAAGTGTGAGTGTGTAACAACTGGGCTGAGAAAGCATCGATTATTTCGTGGGGTAAATAAATATGTGGATTACAATTTATTCCAACTTTCCCTTCTTGAGTTTAAAAAAACTTCCTTTTGCTTAACATTGTTCCTTCACCTAGAATCCCACTCCTTCCTTTTCTGCCCACTCAACTTCAAGACCCAGCTCCAAGGTTCTGGCCTCTGTGAAGTTATTCTGGTGCCCACCGTTTAGACCCTTTCATGGGACTTCCATGGTGTCTGTGATTTTTCCATTTGCTTGTTTTCCCTCTGTACTTGGCTATGAGACATGAGGGTCCAGACTGGGTCTAGTTTGCCCCTGTGCCCCCAGCACCTAGTCTAGGGCTGGAGAGGGAGCTTGGAAGATAGCTGGAGACATTACTAGCAGACAAAGAGAGACCGCAGAGCCTTGAAAGCTCCAAGATGGGAGGCAGAGGGGTTTGAGGATGAGTGAAACGGAGACAGACAGCTCTAAGGAGCATCCCCTACTGTTCAGCCTAATTCAGATTCGAGGATCTTTTTTGGGAGGGCTGGGGGCTGGGCTGGGGTGTCAGATGTGATCACAACTTCGATTTCCCATTCAAGCTTTCCACAGGGCTCCCTCCCTCAGCCGGCCCCCTTCTTTCCCCAATCTTGCCTTCCTTTCTTGCTTTCCTTCTCTGTTGTGGCTCTGTGAACGAGGTGTAAGAGGGAAAGGAGGTCTGCAAGCGTTGGCAAGAGGAGGTCCTCGTCTTCTGACTGGTGTCTAGGAGGGGCTGCGTGCTGGGGAGGGGGCTGTGTTTTGGGGTGAGCAGGAGCTCTGGGCGTAAGCAGGGGACCAGGATGTGAAGGAGTTCCGACCAGGTGGTGTGAAGCTGTGATGAAGTTGTGAGCTGTGGGGGTGAAGGTGTGACGGGGGCTGTTTGGGGGCTGAGGCAGTTCTATGAGGGGCATGGTGTGGGCGTTTGAGGAGGTAGTGTGGAGCTCGTGGGGGGACTCTATTAGTGTTCTGGGGTACAGTGAGGAGGAGGTACAGCTGAGGGAGGCACCCACCTCTTGTCCCGGCTCCGCGAATGCGAGGGGGCTCGCAGCTGAGGTTTCCCGCACTGCTGCTGTTGAGGAGAGGCGCCCCTGGGCGGCACAGGGAAGCCCCCGGCCCTGGTCCGGTGCCCTGCACGCTCCGGTTCAGCTTCAGCAGCTCCATGGCCCCCGCCGAGCCCGCCGCCGTACTCAGCTCGGCCCGGCGGGCTCCCGCCGCGGCTCCACCGGCTCACGCTGCGATTCCGGCTCAGACTCCCGCCGCCCTCCTCCCCCGCCCCCCTGCCCCGCCCGGTCCCCGCCCCCAGCCCAGGCCACAGCCCTCCGCTCTCCCGCGGCGCGCCCCGCCCGGGTTCGCGTCCCACCAGGTGACTGCGCGCCCCCTCCCCGGCTCGGGAGTTCTGCCCCTGCCAGTGCGGCTGTCCTCCAGGCTCGCCCCCTCCCTAAATCTCTCCGTCTCCTCCTAGAGATTTCTCTCCTGCCCACCTCCCTTTATCACTCGCCCCCACCCCCGATTCCCGGGAATGAGAGAGGAGCGAGAGAGCCAGAGAGCGAGTGTTGGCAGCGCAGGGGGAGGCTGCGGGGAAGGGAGGGTAGGAGGCATTGTGTAGGGACGCTGCCTGGGATCCAACATCGTTCTCTGGTGTATCAGGGAACGTGGAGGTGGCGTTGGAGACCGGGTCTGCGTGCGTCACCTGCTGAGGCGCGGGTGCTTTAGTCTGCGCCTGGCCCCGCGTTTACCGTACTGTGTCGCAGTGGCCGCACTGACCGTGACACTATTGCTACCGTAGTTCCCTGCAGCTCCTCGCTGCGGGACTCGGGTAGCTCCTGCATGTGTCTCGGCGCCCTCCACCTCCTGTCTCAGGCTCAACACTCGGGCTTCCACTCAAGGTTCCCAAGGAGCCCTCCACAGCTGGGTGGGAGTGGGGGTGGGGTCCGGGGGGAGCCTTGCCCCGGGGAAAGGGCTTCCGGGAGGAAACGTCTGACTTGGGTGTTGAGGGCAGTTGGGGTGGTGGCGAGAATTGACCAGGATGAAGCCGAGTAAGGTGAGGACGGGATATGGTTCTAGCGCCAGCGCCGGGCAGGCAAAAGAGGAGATGGTTTTCTACACCGTCTCCAGGCAGCGCCCACGCCCACCCGACACGCTAACGCTACCTGTTTGCTTTCAGTGCAGGCAAAGCCGCCTGTGTAGGGTGTCAGGTTCCCACGAGAGGGGGCTGGAAGGAGACTGGGTCACTGGGGTGCGACAGGAACAGGGCTGAAGTGGGCAGGACTGTACTGGGCTCAGCTTCTCCGGCAGGATTTGTCTCTGTTACTGTTTCTGCCCTACTCCCTGTGCATTCTCCTATCCATTCCTTTTCTTCCCAAAGTCCTATCCATTCTTCGGATTCCAAATGAGCTCCAATACGTTGTGAAATTCCGTCTTCTGACCCCCAGCAGTAGCTGTAAGAGGTGGGCGGGGTAGGGGGGGCATCAGTAGAGAATGGAGTCTGGCTTTATGCGGGATTCAGCAAGCCCTTATCCAATTAATCTTTTGGAGAGGACCTGGTTCAGCCAGCCCTGAGTTTATAGGGGCTGAAGCATTGAAAGAGTTTATGCATGGGACGGGTGGGGACATCATCACCTGCTCCCCCTTCCCTTCCTCCTGGCACTGCCTGTCTTGCCCATCAAAGAGCCCTGGACCAGAGGAGCTAGATTTGCTATTTGTTCAACTCCAGCACAGGTGGGGCCTCAGATAACCGGCTCAACTTTTCCCACATTGGATGGCAGTACAATGAGGAGGGAAGGGAGCAAAGGAAATGTAGGGGAAAGGGGAATGAAAATAGAGGTAGATGAACATTCACTTATTTAGCAAACTATGCCAGTTCTAAAGGTGCACACTAGTTGTCAGATACAGTTTGTGCCTGAGTAGCACCTACTCTAATGGGGATTTTCCCAAGTAAGCCAATGATTGTAATATATGGTCGTTAAGTACATCCACCAGGATGTACAAATCAGAAACTTAGGAATTAACATTGATGCCTTACTTCCGTATGCTCTTTCACCCCTGTGCTGGATGCTGTGATGCTAAGCCCAGAACTCTCTTAAAAAACGAAGGATTTATTTTCCAGCTGCTGAAAGTGTTGCTGAAAGATGACCCTTAGCTGTAAGAACCCTTCACAAGTTGCCTAGGCAGAAGAAAGCCAGCTCATCCAAAGGTTACGCTTTCTTTCTTGGGCATTCCATATCCAATGGCCAATAGGCACAGAGGTGTAAAGGTTTAGTCCCCTCAACCCAGTGGTGGACAACTCTGAAAGATGCTCACAACCCCACAGCTCCTCATAGGGTTGACTGAGGTCTTTGTTGGGACTGAATTACTGCTCAGCTTCTCCTTTTGCCCAATCCTATTTTCATCTTTTCTCTTGCACAGGTGTTAACTCCAAGAGCACTTCTTAGTAAACATCCTCCACAGTAATCTTTGTTTGAGAGTCTGCTTCCTTTGGAACATAACTACATCACTCCCATATTGAATCAATCACCAAGTCCTGTTGATTTTAGCTACTGAGTGTTCCTTGAATCTGTCTGCTTATATATCCACTAATATGACCCTACTCTTGAACTACACTCCTAGCCTCCTACGTGGGCCACCACATTTTACTCATGCCTCCTTACACCTGTCCTCCACTTTATAGCCGAAATGCTATGCTCAGAATACAAATCTGACTATCCCGCTCTTTCAACCTTTGCTTTTGGGATAGAGAAAACCTTTTAACAGAATCTAGAAAGCCTACGTGGCCTGCCTCCCACTTACCGTTCTAGCCACATTATTTCAAGTCACTATGATTCTTGTTCTCTCCACTGTAGACACACTGGCCTTTCTTTAGTCACTCCCTCTTTTTTTCTCTACTTTTCTTTTTCTTGTTTTTCTATATATCCTCCAGTTACATGGCTTTTCCATATACTCTCTGGAAGCTTCTTCTTTCCTTCCTTACCTAATTAACACTGACTCACCCATCTGATCTCAGCTCAAGTTGCATTTCTTCAGGGGTATTTTCCCTGGCTTCTTCTCCTTGGGTAGGTAGAATTAGAAGATGACCCCCAATAACTCTCACCCTTATATAATCTTCTCTTGCATGTGGATGGACCTGCACATATGATGAAATACTACTCCCACCATGGTGTCATATGGCAAAAGGGATTTTGCAGATGGAATTAATTTTACTAATCAGTTAATCTCAAGAGAGAGTATCTGGCTGGTCCTAACCAAGTCACACGAGTTCTTTAAAAGCCAAGGATGCTTTTTTTCTGGTTGGGAGCAGAAGAGGAAATCAAAGAGATTGGAAGAATGAGAAGAAGCCAGCACACTGCTGATAGCTTGAAGATAGAGGGGATCATGTGGCAAGGAATGCTGGTGGCTGTTGCAAGCTTGAGGGTGAAGGAGGGCAAAGGGCAAGTCCTGAGAGTGGCCTCTACTTGACAGCAGGCTCTAGCTAATAGCCAGCAAAAGAACAGACTTCAGTTCTCTCCTGAGTCTGTAGAAGAGAATTCAGTCTGGCTGAAACCTTCATTTTTGATACCCTGAACAGAGAACCCAGCCACACAGTGTAGACTTCTAGCCAATATATCTGTGAGCTAATAAATGGGTGTTTTTTTTAGCCACTACATTCATGGTAATTTATTACAACAGCAGTAGACAAATAATACACCTTCTATCTCATGAGGCAGCAAATGCAGACCCTTGCAATACATGAAAGGAAGAATTTGGAAATTTGTTAAGGTTTAGAAAGATTTGGAAAGATTGCAGTGGCAGCTAGTGTGGAGAGCAACTTAAAAGGTGGGACCAATTGGGAGTCCATGACAGTAATTTGGGTGAGAGATGATAGTGGCTTGACCTAAAGTCATGGATGTATTGGAAATGATTAATCTAAGACCTATTTAGGAGGTAGAAACAGAATTTAAAGATCATTTGCATGTGGAGGATGAGAAAGAAGGATGAGATAAAAATGAATAAGTTCCTGGAAACTGAATATAAACTATTTGATAATCACCTACTATGTTCAAGGTGCACTACCTTTAAGTACATTTAATCCTCATGAAGAACCATGAATTTAGGTCCAATATTGTTGATCACTATGTTAGATGAAAAAACTATGGCTTAGAGAGAGTTTAAGTAGCTTGCCCAAAGCCACAAAGCTACTAGGTGAAAGAGCCAGAATTCAACGTCAGGAATTTTGGAAATTAGAATTCAGTTGTTCATATTGTGCTGCTTCCCAGAATGAGTAGATATCTTACTAAATTTCTCTGATTTCTTTCTCTCATTTTATACAATATTGTTTTCAAATTTTCTTGTCTCATAAAATCTCTAATTTCTTCTCCCACACTGACACACACACACACACACACACACACACACACACGTGCACACACACACAACATTCTTCACTCTCAATATATAACCTGGACTTCAACTTCATAGAGAAAATAGTAACTGGCAGAGAGCAACTCCCACATCAAATCTGTTCTGTTTTGGACATACTGAGTTTCAGATGTCTATTAGACTTCCAAGTAGAATTCCAGTAGGAAGCTAAATATACAGATTGTATGAGAAGTAATGCAAACCACAGAATTAGAGTGTGTAGAACGAGAACAAATGAAGGATCAAGTCAGACATTTAGAGAAGGCCATTATTTAAAGACTGGATAGAGAAAGATGAGCCTGCATAAGACATCAAGAAAGAGTAGACAGAGGGACAGAAGGAATCTAAGGGAGTGAAGCATCATAAAAGCTAAAAGAGAATAGGTGCAAGAACAAACTGGTGAACTCATTCAAATGCTGCTCCTGGATAAGCAAAATGAGGAATGAGAAATGTGGTCCAAAATTAGTGACCTGGAGGTCTCTGGCAACCTTAGAAAGAGCATTTTAGTGAGATTGTTGAGGCAGAAGACAGAGTAGGTGTACTGAAAACTGCATGTGATGGGAGGAAGTGGAGTAAATGACTTTAGGCAACTCTTTAAGAAAGGTAGTTATTAAGGGAAGGGGATAGAGCTGGAGGAGGATGTCACATGAAAGATTTTGTTTTTTTAAGATGGGAGGACTTGAACTTTTTTCATTCTCTTTCTCTCTCTCTTTTTCTTTCTTTCTTTCTTTCTTTCTTTCTTTCTTTCTTTCTTTCTTTCTTTCTTTCTTTCTTTCTTTCTTTCTTTTTCTTCTTTTGGAAGATGGAATTACTCCAATATATAAGAAGATATAGGAGAGATAGAATGGTTAATGAATAATGCGAGGTTCCTGAAAAGTCAGGTATGTATGAAATCCAGAGCAGAAGTGGAGGGTCCTAGCTTTTGACAGCAGTAGAGACTCAATTGTAAGAGGAAATCAGTAGAAGAAGA